ACTCAAATTTGAAAAATAAAAACAATGAGTCCATATTTTTAGAATGCGAGATATACAAATTTTTGACTCTACCTTCACAAATGAGATGCACTATAAGAATGATAAAATGCCATTGTTCTACGATGAAGCATAAGGTTAGTTATGGCTTGTTTGTACCTTGATATTGTTTCCACGAGAGTAGGCAGTCTATTAACTATTACAATGTTTATTGACTTCAAACTTTTAAATCATTTACAGGACAGTAATAGATATAGTTTCTTCTGCATGGTTTTGGTTGTAGATCACCTCTATGTCAGTATCCAAAAAAATCTTTCTAACAATGCCAAGTATAACAACAGAGTCTAGAAACTGGGTCATGAAAGTTGTGGCACAATACATTCAGGTTTAGGGTACATATCTTTCATGATATTTTCATAATCGTGCAATAACAATACATAATATATTAGATATTCAAAATAGTACACGTGCAACGCACGTGTGCACAAACTAGTAAATGAAAAGATATGTATAACCCCAAACACTCAAACACACATTCAATTCAAAATATATTTGTCAAATCATGTTTGTTATCACTAGTCTGACAACTGGTCTAATCTCTTGTTACCACTAGCCTAATAACTGACCCAGTCGTTTGTCGTCACTAGCCTGATGACTGACCTCATCTCTTGTTACCACTAGCTTGACCCGTTTCTTGTCATCACTAGCCTGATGACTGGCTCAGTCGCTTGTTACTACTTAGACCTGATAATCCCAATTCTCGTCTCATAAACATGATTTTTACACGCACCAAAACTATAGTTTTAGTTCCAATGCACACAAAATTTCTCTTTCATCACCAAAACAATGATATAAAATTATCCCACAAGTTTTTCAAATATAGAACAGTTCACAATTTCAAAACATTTAATTGCAACCCCAAACATCAAAACATATATCATATATATGAAAAATCCACATGCATGCTCCCACACATTTAATATAAAAAATCCTCCAAAAAGAAGTAGTAAACTACTCACCTTGATTCCCAAAATTCAATTCAAATCCCTCTTTCTCAACTCAATGCAATCACCACCTAATCCAAAATAACATACAACGATCAATCTCTATTCTCAACTTTGTCATTTCGCGATTCTATATTTAATTTTTATACTTCCTACCAATTGATATATATTTTATATATATTTTACATAGAAATAATATTTTTAATGTGAGCTAATAGAGTATAGAAGTAATCTGGGTAGTTTATAAAAAGTTTTTAAATTTTGGGGTCAAATCATAATTTTTAAAACTTTCGAAGTTAAAGTGTAATTTTCCTGAAAAATAAATTTCCTGTTTTCGGGGCTGCCATAAATTTTCTAAAATTCTATTCTTCTAACTTACCAAGTAAAACAATGGTTAAAATTAAGTTTAAAAGAATATATGGATCAAAGTAAAGCTCTTTGAAAATTATGTTTAGAAGAATATTATTTGGTATTGATTAAACCATTACAAAATTAACCTTAAATTATAAAATTTTTTAGTTGTATATAAACTTAAAATTTAAATATAATTTTTTTTTGTAGCATAACGTCTTCCCTCTCACTATATCACTTTTTTTTTTTGAATTGTCTTACTATATCACTTCATAAACTCTCTTTTGGTCAATATTCGATCACGTGTACTTAAATCAAATCAATTGTTTGCTCTTAGTTTTTTATAAAGAGTTGCTCACCTCCATTTGATAAATTCAAAAATTTCTAGTTCACGTGAAAATACGTGAAAGTAAATTAAAAAAATTGACAAAATTTCAAAAATTTAATAGTTCAGGAAAATTTAAAAAATTTAGTACCAAAAAAATTGATAATATTTTCAAAAAGGTTATTTTTTTTTTAGGTATTAAATTTAGAGAAGAACAATTGTGAAAATAATAAAAATTTTTGGGATAAAATTATCACTTTTTGTTAGCAGCAATGACGAAAGGAAGACGGAGGGGGTCTCCGTGTAATGAGTTTTAAACTTCAGGGAATTTTTGTGTTATTTATAAATATAAGGGGATATGTGTAATATTGTTAAAACTTAGGGATATCCGTGTTTTTTAGTCTAATTATTTACACAACATTGACGAAAGGAACAGTGAGAATTTTGGGACCAAATGCAGTTCTTACATTCTCTTGGCATCCCACACTTTCTCCAAATTTGAGAGAATTTATTTTTTCAAAGACATAATTTGAAATAAATATAAGGAAACAAAAAAGAAAAAAGAATGTGGTAATATCTATCATTTGTTTATTTTTAACTATTATTGTAGGCTGATTGTAAATCATGGGGATAAATATTATAGAAAATCCTAAAATTTTATTCAAATTTTAATTTGTTCCTCTATTTTTTACCAGGTGAACGTATTTATTAAATTAAAAACATTATAGTAACCAATAGTTTTCATCTAATCCATTTGACTAACTCAACAAAAAATAAAAAATAGAAAATTAGGCAACAAACTTGCCCAACAAAGGAACACCAATAGCGAAGGCAACTCTTTGGGTCTCCACCTACACTGGGGTGCGAAAGCATGGGAGAGTGAAGAGGATTAGATTTCCTGATAATTCTTGTCGTAAATGATGAGTATTCGTCTTTGGTCTACGCGGTTCACGAACGCAACTAACACTTGAAACACTCTGCCTGAAGAGTAAAATCACATGACCGAAACTCAAAAGAATTGACGGGACCTGCACAAGCAAATGGAGCATGTAATTTAATTCGATACAACGCACAAAATCTTACCAGCCCTTAACATATGAACAACAAAACATGTCTTTAACGGGATAGTACTAATTTTTATATACAAGTGCTGCATGGTTGTCCATTAGGGGGTAAATTCAAACAAATATTATGAAATTTTTTGTTTATTTCAACAGAATATTGGTAATTTAAAATAATTTAAAATTAAAGAGTAATTTTAAAACCAGACCATAGTTTGGGATCATATGACCGTAAATGAATTATATTTCTTAAAATAAAATAAATAAAACAAAATAATTCCATTAAATTCTTTGTAGCAAGACGTGGACTCCTACGACATGTTACACAAAAATAACACAATTAAAGGGTAACATAGGCAGAAAAAAAAAGGTGTAGTTTATAATATTTAAATTTTTTACATAGTATCGTACAAGATGTTGCAGAATTAAATATTTTTTTTATTGACATAAATACGACATATATTGAAAATTATACGACACGACATGATTGACACTCTTAAACTTGAAGGGAGTTATTGGGTTCACACCTCACAGAGTTGGGCCTTATGGTCACTGGGCTAACACTGGGATTTCTATTTCTTTGTTGCCTCACGCGCTAAGTCGATTATTTTGGGGGAGGGAAAAAAAAGAGCAAAACTAATTTTTCTAAATAAAAGGAAGTTTGTTTCTATTTGATTTCATTCCTAATTTGGGCTCGACCAAACACTTTGTAATGAGCAATGTTATGCACATCAAAATTGTGTACCAAATCATTTATAGTCGTCAGATCAATGAATTCTATAACTAATCCAAAGGCTGCAGATAATTTAGTGCACATAATTTTATCTTTTTTCAGTACAATTTTCTTTAATTCTATCAAAATTATCCTTGAGTGAAGGAAATATTAGGAGACAATCTCAGTACCGTTGATTAATTCAAAGAATTTAAAAGAGGAAAGAGGGATGGAGTGTTTGGATGGATCCGAAAGGCAAGGTTAAAGATTTTTTCAAATCTCCCAATTTTTATGATACGCGAAATAATTGTATCGAAACTAATTGGGAAAAAAATCATATATTTTATAACTATATATCATTATAAATTATAAATATTCAACCCATGCCAAATACCCCCAACGGTTTCTGTCGGGTAGGGCCAGGAGCTGATTTGGGAAATTCACTGGACCTTACTTATATTTAGGGGGATTCGATTCTGAAATGGAAAGTGCTAATCCAGTGGATGATCCTCCTGTCATTGCAGGATTTGTGAAAGATTATATATACACAACTTTACTTTTCTAAGCAAAAAAATTATTTGTACCACTCAATCCCATGACTTTCTAAAGCTTACACGCGGTAACGTGGACTATAAATGTCGTTCCCTGGGGCTGTTTGAAATAAAGAAATTCTAAAAGTTTCCCTCCTTTCTCTAATCCTCTTTTTCAAATCAAAACCTCCCCACTCCCACTGCTCAAATCCCAGTAACTTGGAAAACCCTAACTATTCAGAACAGCTCTGAAACTCTGTACGCCGATTCATTCTCATCTCCAATGCTCAGGTCAGTCCTATCTTTTGTTCTTCTTTAATCGAGATCTACTAAGATACTTTGCCTCTGTGTTGCATTTATCTCCGCATTCACGAATTGGTTCATTTGCTTTTTTTTTTTTCTCTGGGACGATCTGTGCAATTTTCTCAGTTTGGTTGCTGAATTTGAATTTTGTGCTGTTCTTTTATTCGGAAATCGATTTAATGTTAGATTTGTAGCGGAATTAGTTTTTAAATCTTCTGTATGGTTTCTGAGGATCTTGATTGGGACTTGGGAAGAGAGAGGAGAGGTGGCGGGGAAGGTTGTCAAGAGACTGATACGAGTGAGAGGAAGATGAGCAGCAGATCCATCAACATTAATTGGAAAACTAAAAAGGATAATTTATCGACCATCGACGAAGTCCCTTACAGGTCGAGCTTTTATGAGTTAAGGTTCTGGGTAACAGAAAGCGGTACAAATTTCCCCTCGGGAATTATGAAAATGTTGAGACCCGAAGTGTTTACACCATCAATCATAGCAATAGTAGCCAAGAGTGACAAAAAACAAGGCAAATATTCATACAAACAAGTCCACTGGTCCTCAATATAAAAACTAGCTAGAGTTGTAATAATAATCACAAATGCCTTCGTTCTCTCTCCTTAAAACCATAGAAAATTTAACCCAAAATGTCAAGTAATAATCACAAAACAAGTCTCTTCCCCAATCTTTAGTGAAGACTCCTCCCACTAGTAATGCTTTTCTTCATGAAGCATCTGGTGTGAGCTTTTCTTGCTTACTGCCAACTGCAGAGTAAGAGATAAAAGATAATCCGAGCTTAGGTGAAATTTTACACCAAGATATCAAAATACACAATGGAAACTTGAAAACTAAAACTCACGACATAAAGTGGGAAGTTCAGAGCTTTTCAACACGCGCAGCCTCTTTACAGTAGATACAAACATGCTGCAAATAACATATTCAGAAACCAGATTACAACCAGCAATCTACTGTAAATTACAGCAGAATAGTGATCTCAGACAAATTCAACCTTCAAATCACGTGTGAATATACCTTATTAGTAATTAGTACATGCAATCTATAACAATATAGAAACAAGATCACAGTATCATAAGACTGAAGAATTCCATGTGAAATAATTGACACACTTGGGTGGGACTTATAAATGATTATTAAGAGGTCAACAGCGTTCCTTCGCATGCATTACTAACAAAAAATGTGAGATCAAGAAAAAGAATTATATTTAGGGAATCTAGATTAGGCTTGGAATCTAAATCCAGAAAGAATTAAATAAACTACAATCATACACAAATGGTTATTTAAAATGTGTGATCAGGAAAAGGAATTAAACTTTGGGAATCCAGAGTAGGATTGGAATTTAAGCCTGGGAAGAATTAAGTAAACTAAATTCATACAAGTGGCTATTTCTCTAAAGCTTCAGTGAACTAGTGGCAGAATTTTAAAAGGAATAGAATAAACAAAGTGCATCATATCCAGTTGTAAGATGCTTACTGCCATGGGACATCCCCAACAAGCATCCTGTCTCCTTCATTATCCTGATACACAAGGGTATATTCCCCACTTCCATCTAACAGACCAGTAATAGGTTTCTCTCCCTCTTCCTTGTTTTTCATTCCATCGGCAGAGGAATCACTTTGAGCTGAACAAATAATCATAAAAAAAGTGACCAATCAAATCTCATAAAGATTAGACACACAAACTCTCACAGTATACCATGTTTACTTAAGTTAATAATATTTTCTTAATGATTGACCAGGGGGTACATAACACGACATAATTACAGCCTTACGTTGATATGAAAAAGAATGTTACTTAACCATTTACCATGTGCTTAGAAAGTCACAAATGAACACTAATTCATTAATATCGTATTTTGACTGTCTTCCTATTCACAACTTGAAATAATTTATTGTTAGATGAAGTACTGTAGATAACCTGCAAGAAGGCCTCTGAAGAGTTCATCAACAGCAGAGTAGAGCTTTTCATAGCAGTCATAGGCTTTAAGATCCACTTTTCTTCCAATTGGGACCCCATCCATATTGATCTTCACAAACAATCCTTTTCGGCTAGTTTCAATCGGTTTCTCGTTCGAAGCCTTGTTTGGGACCACTTTTTCAGACTCTGGGGAGGGCTTTAAAGAGCTGCTACTGGCAAGATTCTTCCTAAATGACCGAATTGGAGGCCACCCCACAACTGGAGTAGGAGCAGATCTTTTGTTTTGTATTTTGTTTGTGGAACCATCAAGAGAGGAATAACACAGATTAGTCAGACAATTGACATTAAATTTGTTTAATAGATAAGTTAAATCCAACTTAAAGACAGTAAACCAAATTCAATTACTACGACAAAACGTGTAAAAGACAAATATGTGCCCCAGTACAACAGAGAAAAAGTTCCCAAGAATTGCTTCATGATGTTACCCAAAAAAAAAAAAAACTAAAATTTATTCGTAGGTAAGATTAACACTATTATTTACCCCAAAAAAAAGATATTTATACCCTTAAAGTGATAACATTCAAAAAACAGCAAAACTATCACATAAGAAGGAGAAGGATCATGCTTATATTTAGTGGCAAGTGAAAGAACTTGGAAATCCAGGCAACAGAGTAACATCATCAAAAAAATAGTAAAACCCAGAAAAAACTGTAAAAACAGATACTTTCACAAAAAAGGATATGTAAACCAGAAAACAGAGAAATTAGTAATAATATGCACAATACATGAGAAACATAAATAATAAAAAAAAATGAAACTATTATGCATGGAACACGGAATCTACCAGCGACTGAAATAGTGAATATCCTCTGTCCAAAAGGAAAGCAATAAAGAAAAGTGGGATACCTTTTCTGAGAGCTGTTGGGCACAGCTGTATTTGCAGAAGCTGGTGAAAATGTCTTCTTTTCTGCATTCTGCAAGTCTACCACTTTAGTGCAACAGGGCTGTGACGATTCCCTAGCAGTAACAGGCTGGCCTTGTGGGGTTGATTGGTACTGGGGATATGGAGCCCTTGTCTGGTGGTTCTGTTGTTGGGTCTTCACCTGGTAACCTGAAGATGCCCATGGACTCTCTGAAGAAGAAAATTTCTGGGTTTGGCCTCCTTTGTTGTTCATTATCCAAGTACCCTCTATTGTTTTGTGGTCAACAGTGTCTATGAACCCTCTCTTAGCACCAGAAGTGTTAGCGTTGTGGGTCATGGATGACATGTTTGAAAAGCACCCAAGAGTGAGAAGAGATTCATCTCTTTCTCCAGAGTTGTCTCTTGAACAATCTTTGATGGTCCAGTGTTCGCCTGGTGGACCAAGCCTTAACTCGAGCTTTTTCTCCTCTGAAACTCCATGGCTTCGTTCTTCCCTTTTCACAAGCCATTCTCTCTCTTTTGGAATCAAATCTAGCAACTGTGGACACGCCTCTTGCTCTGTGGAATATCCCTCCATCACTTCGCCAAGAAAAGTCAAAAACTAGAGGAAGTCTAGACGGAAAAATCGAACTTTTTCTTCCCAGTTTCACACCAGAAACAGGTAACAGATAGAAGAAACAGCACTGTAAAATGAAAACATGCTCGAGTCAAAGGAACATCACAAACATACACCATACACAAATCATAAGCTTTAAACCTAGAAATTTGAAAGAACAAAAGATAGAAGAGTACATGCCTTGAGTGCTTAACCAAAGCTCAAAACTATGGACACCCACATCCTGACATCATCCAAACAGAGCTGTTTAGATCCTAAATCAAAAAACCCAGGAGTGAAAATCAATAAGACCACCAAACAACCCTCAGGAAGGATCTCCTACTCCAATAGGTTCAAGCTATCAAGGTCTCAAAACAACATCCCAAGACTCTGAGCGAAGACAATACAATAACCCCAAGAGAAACCCACAAAGACTAATAAAACCCAAAGATGTGAAAGAGTTATGATAGTTGTGAGATTGCAATCTAGCTCTCTTTTTTCTTTTTGCACGCTCAGTAAGAGTGGGCTCTCTCTCTCTCTCTCTCCTCTTGGTTAGGCCTTTGGTGAGAGGGAACAAAGGACTGAGGACGGAATGGAAGCAAAAAAGAGTAAAGAGTATAGAACCAGAGAGATTCCCTTCACACGAAGCACCCTCAAAACAGGAAGGGAATTAGAACATATAGCACGCAACCAGGCCCCAAAAATATGGCGTAGTTTGGTTCAGGAAGCAAAGCATGCTGACCTCTCTTCCTCTCTCTAATAGAAAAGATATACTCTCTCCTGGTGTCTGAGTAGTCTAAGACACACCAACCCATACACCCCTCCTAGCCAACAACCTACCCTTATTATCTCTCCACCTTTACCTAATCCAAGTCTAGTTTTGAGGTCAAGAAAGCGAAAGGGTTGATGTTTTTGATAACTTCTAACAATGAAAGTCCTTAATATCAGGCAAAATTAAGCTGATAGAGACTAAACTGAACTCTGTTGAGTAAAGAAATGAAGGGTGCTATTTAATAGTGTCATTTTGGAGAGAGAGAGAGAGAGAGAGGATTTGCATGATCCATATTTGCAGGGGTTGTGCAATAAAAACATGCAGATGCCATTGATCTTGTCTGCTTCTCTCTCTTTCTCAATCTTGCCGTCCACAGTAAACACATATTCCCAAATGGGTTGGAGTTACGTCAAGAAGTGGACACGCCCTTCATAAGAGTCTTAATCTTTCAATTGCATCCGTACGATCAATTGATTCTTTGAGATATAAAGTGAAAAAACACAGAAAAGGTCACAAACATATATGGAATTCCCTAATCCAACGGCTAGAAAAAAAAAAACACACAGGTGTAGATTATGCCTGGGATTATAGCCTGCTAAGAAAACCGCTAACGTTCATCGAGCAAGTCGGGAAATGATCGCCAAATCGCCAAACGTTGCCTTGCATAACTATAATACCCTTGCTCTATCAAAAGAATCAAAGAGTAATAATGCATGTGTTTTTTTACCAACAGATTTTTTGAAGGTGGTTTAAAATCTCAAATTTTTTGATTCGTTTAGATTCAGGTATATTGAGCAATTTTTTATTAATTTGTTGGGTAAAAATAACTTTTATCAATATAAAAAAAAAAACTAAAAAATTGGGTTTATTCAAGAACTTATAACTATAAATTGACTTTTTAGAAAATATTATGAACGATTTCAAAAAAATTTTAACTCTGATTTTTTTATTTTATTTTTAAAATTTTTTGTTTTACACCTAAAAAAAATTAATTCCAAATGAATTCAACATCTGGTTTTTTTTTGGGCAGGTATTATTATAAGGAAGAGACAATGATTTTCAACTCCCAACTTTAAGGTCAAACATCAAATTAACCTCTTTTCAACGACATCATGTAACTAGTTTTTACCGTAACATTTTGAGAATAATAATTCGCACCCTCACGTGCGTCTATCATTCTCACCCACAAACTACACAAAGTCTCACTAATATGACTGAAAATGATATTTATGTTTGAATGCCAGCTTGGGGAGAAAATTGGTTCATGTATATTAGTAGAATTTTTCCGTGATTTCTCATTAGCTTACAATTCAAAGATTTGTAAATCAATAGGTAGGTGAACAAATACATCAAATTGTCAACAACATGCTTAAACAATTGAAACGAATTTTTAGTATTCTACTTTTATTTTTTATTAAATAAAATTATTACAAGTACAAAATTTATTTGTTTTTTTATTTGAAAATCAATTACTATAGATTAATGAGAGCAAAATATGCACTTCTTATCATTTTGTACTCACAATTTGTTGAAGGTGATGTTTTTGTAATAATTTGAGATAGTGACTCTTGGTCGAATTTGAGATGAAATTCTTGTATCGAGAATATCTCTTTCAATATTTATGTCAGCGACACTTGAGGATAAGAGGATATAAATACTATACAATTCTGGTTTAGCATCCAAACTTGAATTCTGTCTCATTAGATTATTTATACATTCAAAAATGTTAGACATAGAAATCATTTGAGTAATGACATTCAAAATGTTAGACATAGAAATCTTTGAGGACATGAATCTTACATTTTGATAGTCTAAGATGACATCTCTTCCATGAGGACTATCACATCAACAAACCTTTTAACATCG